TTTTTTTTTTAATTTTCTTTTAATTCTTAGATTTTATTGTTTTAAAAAGAAAAGTATGTATGTATGTATGTATGTTATCATCTGAAGTATTTGAACATACATACCTCCATATCATTTTGTCAGATTCGCCCCGTTTTCAGCGAGCTTAATAAACAAACGATCGGGCGACTTTAAATTAAAAAGTAAAATTATGAAATGAAAATATTATAAACTAGAGCTCTCGATTTTGTTCGCACATTTTCAAACAGCCCGGGTATATGAGCAGCGAGTACTCGCACACTTGTTCAATGCTCATTACTCGAAAATTTTCGAGCATGAGCTCGAGCAATTCGAGTTTTTTCGAGTAATTTGAGCAATGTTTTTTTTTTTATTATATTGACATTTTTGGTAGCAACTTTTTAAATTTTTCAAATTATTGATATATAATGCAAAGATTGTTACATTGATATTTAATAATATAATTTATTTAACCTGAAATAGAAAGCAGCTGCTGACAAATACAATTTACAAATTTTCTTTTGTTTATGAAATAGTTCAAAAACTCGAAAATTTTGAACAAACATTTGATCAGTTGAGCAATGAACGAGTTTCGAGCGAGTATCGAGCTACTCGCATTGCTCGATACCCGGGTATCTAGAGCTCTATTATAAACTAAAAAAAAACGCGTATGTACGGTGTAGCACGAATTTACATATGTGAGCGCCCTCAAACACCTGACGCATCCTGTATTTTCTTCTTGATAAATAGCTAACAAACAGTCGAAATTTACACATATTTTTTTAATTTGTTGACGAATTTTTATACACTTAATTTAGTTTTGGTATATACATTTTAGCAGTAGAATTCAAGGGCTTTTTGAAAAATAGTTGTTAAATTTAATTCTTTCAAGACCAACCGAAAAAAACGTCGACATAAATTATCGGATTCACCCGCATATTTTATAAGACTGAAAAAATTTACCAAAATTACCTCAAAATTAATAGCGTTTTCTTTTCTAACGAAAGTGTTCTCTGCAAGGAGTGGGCAATTCAAAGGCAAATGTTTTTATAAAAGAGAAAACGCCATAATTTCCATTATTATAGGGGAGACCAAAAAGCTTAAGAAAAAATAATCAAATGTTTTTTTTTAGTAATTTATTAGTCCACCTCTATAACTAATATTGTCTGGTAAACAGTTTGGCGCAGAATTAAAGTAAATAATTACGATGGATTTCGGAGGATATTGAATCCCAAGTTTCCACGATAAAGGGCTTCAACGCCGAAACAGTTTTAAACTTGCAAAATTTTCGTAAAGTTTTTGGATCATTCATCTCCAGGGACCATCTATGGGGCGACATCAGGTAATGTTAGTTCAATGTGACCAAGCCTTTGTTGACTCCCTGCCAAATATTTTCAATCTAAAACTTTCTTAAACAGCTCCTTCCCTACTACAAATATGTTCCTCCTGAGATATGCAGTATGAAAAATTCCGTTTGTATAGGAGGTGCCACGCCCCCTTGTCTAATCGAGATAAAAGCTAACCTATGTTTTAAGTTGTGCTTAATGCCACCATTTTGCAGAATTTTATGCTAAACGAATGAGCAGTTAAAGCGTGAAAGCGTTACAAACTTTCGAATTTATAATATTAAGTAAGGATTTCCTAGTTTTTTCTACAACATCGATATATGTATACATATGTGACATATATGTATCTGAATTATAAAGTATTATATATTTTTTTTTTTGTATTGCAAATTCTTCAATTTACAGGTTTTAGATGATTAAGTTATGTTAAACCACTTGAAGTAATTAGGAAATGCCACTAGCTATGCCGACTTTACTATTATTAGATTATTTATTAAATTTGAATACATACTTTCACTTCAGAAAACAAATTAAGAAAGTGCCAACTAGATATAAACATACCGTACATATTATAGGAGAATATTTAATAAATAATGGATATAATATATTTCTTTTCCATGAAAAGTAATTGCAATTTGGGTTAAATGCGCCTTGATAAATTTCACAGTAACAATAACTAAAGAACTACTCTACACAATGGCAAATTTCAGCATTATTAATACACACGCTTAACTCGCGATTCAATGAAAATGTCTTAATAAAAATATCTGAAATTAATAATTTATTGACACATTTCTCTTTTATATATGTACCATTGTCTGCCTACTGATGTTGCATACCAATTACATACAAAATATAATTTCTCCCTGCCCTGCTTTGCGCGACCCAAACCGCAGTGTCTCAACACTCGCCTACTTACATATGTATGTATGTAGGTATCTACTAAATTAACATGTGAACTGTTGCCGTTTAGCCAAACAAAACACATCCTTATTTACTTAAGTTTCAAGAGGTAGAACGCCACAATGACCGCGTTGTTCGACACTTCACTAATGAGTCGCCAAATAATATGACCAACCAAGGCGACGACCTCAAACCGTACGCATCATGTAAACAAGTGTAGATATATGTACATAGCATACACGTGTAGCAAATATGTAAATATGTATGTATGTACATATGCATATAATGAACTACAAACATATAAAACTCCTACGCATTAGCATAGGGAGTATCCGGTTATAAGGACAGCGCACAGTTACATGAAAGAGTTGGAGCGAAGCAGGAACGGAAATTGTGTTGGTGTTGCAATGATAAACAGTTGTATTCTGCTACCAACATTTTAGCTAAGTAAAGATAAATAAGCAAATTTTGGGGGACCGTGCGAGAAAAATTTAGTAGTAGTTTTTTAGAATTTTGATTGGTAATAGCAAAAATATCGCTAGCTTAGAAAGAAAAGTTGCTAAGTCCCATTTTAAAAATTTTACAGGAGAGGAAAAAATCTTCCTATAGCCATTTTCTTTAACTATTTCTTAAGACTTTAAATCAAACATTTTGCGCGTTTAAAGCAAAGCAAAAGTCCATAAGAATCAGAAGGATTTGATATTTATTAAAAGATGTCGTATTATTTTGGTCTTATCGGATTTGTGGTGCTTCTTTGGGACTTAGCAAATTTTCCTTTTATTTCTTATGAAGAGGAAAAAATAAAATAAGTACCTTTATAATTTTCGAAACGATGCGTATTCAATTTCTCTAGCCTCCTATATCAAAATATGAGTTTTCATAAAAAGTGGACTTAGCAACTTTTCACTCTAAGCTAGCGATATGGTTAATTATGCTCTAAAAAAATATGCGTGAAAGATGAAAGTTCAATGTTTCCAAAAAATAAAAAATAATAAATTAATTAATTAACACATTTTTTACTAAAATTGCAATTATCTTCGAACGTATTAGTCCTACATAATTTGGTATATGGACCATTTTTCTAGAGAACCGGAATAAGCTAAGAAAAGTTTTTTTGTTACCACTTGAACTTTGATGGACTTGGGCGAGCCTAAGATATTGACCAAAAATTTTTATCTTAGACACAGATTTTTTTAGAGCATAATGAACCATATTTTTGCTATTACCAAGCAAATTCAAAAAAAGCAGTTTTTCGTCCCACGCTTATATGTATGAGTTCAGTCGACTGCAGTATCCAGACCTCAGTTCCGCTAGAGTTACGCGGATCTCATGCATACATATGGGGCGATTCACGTGAACCGGCCTGGAGCCCTGCCCAAAATTCTTGTATACTAATACCCTTTCAAGTAAAAAGTGGCAAATTTAAAAAATTCAAAATGGCGTCTTTACTACACGGCTTGAAAGACGAAGAAGCGAATATACTTATTAATTTCCTTCTGCAAATGATGACAGAAAACTAGATTTATTCTATAATTTTTGTGGCCGCTGATTACGAATCTCAAATCCCCTTTTATGTACATGGCCTTCATATGCACATGGCGTATACGTTACCCAAACGAAATGCGAATGTTACTCATACGCCATGTACGTACGTTCGATTTTACTTTTGCGGCTGGCAGCATGAAAATTCCAAGAAGTTGATTTTCATGTGCATTTTTGGACCACCGTAATGTACATATATGTATGTCTATTTTCAACTCAGCATTTGAGTAATTTGACCATGAATGCAAACATTTCCCTGCTGGGTATGCTAATTTGTTATTAGTGACAAACTTAGTGTTGGCGTGGCTTTTGGAAATGTCATCAAGATTGAGGGTGTAGTTGGGTTGAGAGAATGTTGCTGCCGACAGTGAGACGGTGCGGCCAGCCATCCCATTCCGATCGTCATTTCCATATTTTTTATGACTTCCTTCTTTCCTTCCGTTTAATTGTGCGCACACACAATAATGATTGAACGAGTGGGTGAGCTGTTTGTTGATGTGCGGCCCCTGCATAGATATGTAGGTACATACACTATATTTGTATGTATGTATGTATGTATTTTTATGAATATCAATATTTACAATGTGCGGACAAGCGTCTGAGCATGTAACCGCGGGACATACACTTGACCATGTGGCAACTTTATGATATGATGACGGTCATGAGACTTTGGAAGTTATGTGTTGCCGCCAATTTTTTGTAAGAAAATTTATGCAAAAATATATATGCAAAATTTTCTAAATTTTGTTTTCTGCTCTCTTTTATTCTTTCGTTGGACATACATATATGTACATATGTATGTATGTATATGTACATATGAATTAACAAAATTTGGCTTTGTATGCAAAATTATATACATACATATGTACGTAGCTATCATATTACAAAGTATATATAAGTCACCACCAGATAACATGGAAATTAACAAAACGGCATTTGCCCTCTGAAGGTCAAACTTTTTAGACGATAAGTTGTTTGTTGGTTACACCTCTAGAACATGAGGGTTTAAGAAAAGGTTTTTCAAGTCAATTGACTCAGCGATTAATGCTGTTCGTTTTTTTATTTTTGTAAAAGGAATATGAGGTTAGGTTTGTAGGTGTTATATCTAACCTATTTAGCTTCCTTTTAGGCTCCATACAATAAAAAAAAAATATTTTATTGTATTTTACATTTCTTACTAAACATTTCTTTTTTTCTTGTTGTACTTTTCAGGCCAAAATGGTTTCCACTACGAAAACATTCACAAAACAAGAACGAGAAGACGCCAGCCGATAAAATACTTACAAAGAAATCCTCAGAAAAGAGCTTAAGAGTGAGTATTAAAATAAGATTCAGTTATAAATTCTGTATTATGCAGAAGAAGGTCCTAAATGGGATTTTCTCGTTTTGCACGAGAGCAATGTTAAGATTAAAATAACATTTTATAAAATTCGGGTAGCAAAATCAGAAGTAACCGGCATCAAAAAGTGCTGCAAAAACGATTAAATTTCGTTCAATGTAATAATTTTTACCGAAATATTCGTGTGGGCTCTTATCGTTTTGCTTAACTTAACTTGAGCACTTTCAGCTTTCACCAGCATATGTATGTATGTATACTAGGGTGGTCCAAAAATGCATGTGAAAAAATAAAGTCAGAACTTTTATGCTCTCACCCCCTAGGATTGTTCTATACCGAAAAAAATACACCCCTATTTTTTTTTTTTTTGAGATCTAAGTTTGTCATGTATTTTATATGGGGAAAAAACCACTTTTCGTAGATATGGTATAGAATTTCTGAAAAGCAATATAATTCTATCGGAAAACTTTGCTTCTCTTCAGGAGATTCCCAATAATAATACCCAATTATTTATTTAACAAATTTTTTATAGTAACTATATTTTATAGGTCCGCCAAAACCCCCAGAAAATGCAATTAAATAAACAATTGAGTATTGTTATTGGAAGTCTCCTGAAAGGAATCAGAGTTTTCCGAACAAAAAATATTGAATTTGATACCATTTCTTCGAAAAGCTGTTTTTCCCCATTTAAAATATATGGAAAACTTTGAACGCTTTGAGCGACGTCTAAATATTGTTTTAATTTCAAAATAAAAAATAGGGGTATTCTTTTTTCGATATAGAACAATCCTAGGGGGTGAGAACATTAAAATTCCGACTACTTGTTTTAGACCACCCTAATGTATACATATGCTTCATTTAGGAATAAAGGCTTTGATGAAAGTTGGAGTAATAAGCTGACGTAGCCGAGTGGTTAGAGGTGCATGCTACCACTCGGAAGAACCCAGGTTTGATTCAAAGTCTGCACAAAATTAAAAGAAAAATTATAGAACAAGGTATCTTCTGTTTGGCAGCGGCCATTCTTTTATTTTGGTCGATTGATTGCTTAGAGTGGTTTGTCACTCTGGTGGCAAGCAACTAGCAATTTGTAGCCACTTTGAACCCACAAGCTCGTACAAACCTTCAACCACATGGTGGTTTTCATGAATTTTAGACTAAAATTCTTAGTAGATGATTGCAAACTGAAATATCCTGCAGCAATGGTTGGCAAAAGCATTTAGTCTCACACTTGAAAGGACTAGGAACTCACGGGAAAAGTTTTCAACTGTCTCTTTTGAGCCCAGACCCTTGCAGCCGCGACAGGTTGAAAGGTATATCGATCGTTTCGGCATGTGCACCCACGTGCCAATGTCCTATGAAATCTGCATGAGTTTGTTGGTATTTTCTTTGCTTTTTCCTAACAGAGTCTTGGTTTAAAGTAGTTAGTAGTAGGTATCCTATCCGATCCTGTACAACTCCATCTTTGCTTAGCTTTCGAATGGTAAATTTCTTCGATTTTGCTTTAAATTTCCCCAAACTAGGCGTCCATGTCAAGAACGTGGAACATATTTTGTACAGAGCCGCACCTCGCTAGTTCATCCTCTGTCTCATTCCCTTATGTTCAAGTATGTCCCATTGCCCTGGAATTCATATTAGTGTAATTTCGAATAAATAAGAAATTGGGGAGATTCTCTTTCAATCATGCACAAGTTTCGACCTAACCGAAGAAGAGGAGAGTGCCAATTTAAGGGCGGACCAGGACACTAGAACAATTTGTTTAGAACCAGGACACCGAAGATGCCGCAGCGCATGTCGCAACTTAGCTTAAGATAATTTTAATTTTACTTTCAACTAAGAACATTCTGGACTTATAAAAGACAACGAGTTCATTCCGTCCAAAGCGATCACTACATATCGACTGAGTCCGAGTGGATCTTTCATCACTAACATGCCATCCAGGAAGGACTGATAGTCCGTGGTCAGTCAAGGCCCTTGGCTCATTGATTATTTATTCGAAAGCGTTCCGACAGCGCCTCGCTTCTCGATCGAATCGTAGATCTTCGTTCTTAAGCTTTTTCCAGCCCACAGTGATATCACAGGTAGCTGCCTGACCGGTACTTTCGAGGAATTGTCGTAAAGTAAGAAAATAGTGAGGGCTCCACGGGTACACCGGCAGCAACCTAAGGAGCTGTTAAAACTGAACAAACCACATCTCTCATTACTGGTGGGAGCTCTAACTAGTCATAGTCCAAACGGAACTCAAGCAGTAAAGCATAACATCACGCCAAACTCTGCTAGAGCAGCTGTATTGAGAATAATAGGGTGTAATTATCTGAATATCTGCTAAGCTTTCCAGTTAAGCGAGCTTAAGATTTCAACACCTGTGTTTCACTTCTTTTTACAACCGCGGAGCTTTCGAGAATAGAAACCTTGTTTAGAGCACGGAGCGTTTTTCTATCATAAGCAACTATCCCGTCCATTCTTTTCCGTTCCGTTTTGTATCTTCTCCCGCTGTTAACCAAAAAGTAATAATTTTTCAATTTCCTCCATTGACAGGTGCTACAATTTTTGTGAGAATTCTCTAAAAGAGGAATATACTATTTTAAATATTATGAATTATTCTCTATAATTAATTTACTGATTTTATGGAATAGCTAATTAATTTCAAAATTTTTTTTTTGCAATTTGTCACTGCTTTATGAGCCAATTGTAAGAAGTGATTTATTAAAAAATAATTAGTTGACTGACCTCTTTGCCATTATTGTTGATTGTAAACAAACCTCCGTTTATTCTACCCTTGAAGGTTAACTACGAGTAGAAAGTACATAATATGTATGTACATACATGCATATATCAACATTACTCACAAGTTTTCTTAATTCTCTTCTACATTATTTGTTCTTAGCATAACCTAATTTCATTCTTTGTAATTTTTTTTTTCTTAGTTGACACAAAAACAAACGGAGCAGGATGATAAGAACCTTGTAACTTCGGCCACAGCAGGCAGTCGAAGCCACTATGGCACATCGGCGGCGTCATCACAGGCCAATGCCGCACAAGCCGATTATGAGGCCGAGGAAGAAGCTGGTTTAGAACTACCACCACCGATGAAACCTTTACAGGAGCCACACTTAATGGCAAACGGTCCGCCAGTATTTGCCAAGGATCTCAAAGAGAATTCCAAAAACTTGGTAAGTCAACTAGTAAATAAACTTAAACGTGACCTTTCCGAGCGATTATGATTTAGCGCCGTTGACCATGAATAATGGCACACACACACACATAAATATAGTAGGCAACGTACTTATTGTCCTTGCGGTTGGTGATGGCGTTTATCTTTGTATGAATGTATGCACATTTGTTGTTCTAACTTAATGTGCTTTGGACCTTTTGTCATGCAAAAGAGCGAGCTTTTATGATTGGTAGTAAATTTAATGTGCCATTATTGCGCATAATATTTTGCTTATGGCGCCTATGTTTCATACATACATACATACACACATTTTGTTTGGGGGCCGTAAGAGGTCATTGGCATAATGCGTATGTACGCAAACACTTCATAGTTGGGCCGCAGAAGGACATTGATTTAAATTTTTAGTTGTAAATAGTTGGCATATGAATGTTTTTTAAAAATGCCATTTGCCGCTAAACTTCTGATATCCTGACTACTCAAAATAAAGTTAATACGGTGTTCGCATGAGGCGACTTTTAGTTGAAAGCAACAATCGCCCGGTGTGAACGACCTTTCAACTAAACGCTTCCAATGAAGTTGGGGGAATTGCCTACTTTTGATTCAACGAATCGCCTCTAAAATTCCCTGAAAAATCGCCTCATGCGAACACCGTATAAGAGAGAGAGGCGCGAGCTCAAAAGTTGACCGCGAAAAAAGATGCATAAAAAAAAACTTCAGCGAAGAAAGACTCTTTCGTGTGTAGTGACGATATGCATCAAAATGTTACTCATACGCACCGTACCAGTGTATGCATTTTGCGTAATTTCCACTCATTTGCAATGATTTTCCAAGAAACCACTTCATTATCACTCTAAGTGAAGTCCGAATAAAGTATTTCGTGGAAGTGGTTTACAAGAACTTTATTCTTATCACAATTCGTATGTAGTCGTGAATTGTGAATTATGTTTTGTAATATGTAAGTACGTAGCGTAATTTAGTATAGGCAAATACTCGTCTGAAATACGGTTATTCCCCTGAGTTAAATTTGTTTTAAAAATTACTTTATTTATATGTAGAAATTTAAATACTTACGTACACACATGTATATACATATGTATATTTATAAATTAGATTAGTAGTTATTGACTTTATATTCCCAGCGCGAACATATTATTCGCTTGGGTTTCCTTAAGCTTCAGTGATTTTATTACCAGTATTTAAGTACTGGGCGCCGCCAAATGACGAGTAAAGTTCTTCATGCTCCACAAGTTGTTGCGTGTTTATTGCTAATAAAGTATTTAATATTGTTTTTGAAGCATGACAAATTCGCACGCATAAAAGCTTAGTAAATATGGCTACAAAATTCAACGCTTCAATGCACACATGCACATATATGTATAAACAAATATGTACAATATACACACCTTCGCATATTTTTTTAGTAAACAAAGAAATTGCTCTCACTTAAAAAACAATAAAAAGGTACTTAATATATATTGCTTGTGACTAGAATGTAGTATAAAATGTAAATAGGTCTTCAATTTCTCTGTCTAAAAGGATGTCATTGTATCTTTTTTGAATATTTACTGTTTGGAAATATTTGTTCGCTTTTGTAGAGGTCTTTAAGTTAGTATGTAGATATTTATGTATATAAGGGTGGTCCAAAATATGTAAAGTGGGCATTTTAATGCTCTCACCCTCTACGATTGTTCTATGTCTAAAAAACTATACAACAATTTTATTTTTATTTTTTTTTTGAATCAAAAAATATTTAGAGATCACTGAAAGCGCTCAAAATTTTCCATGTATATTATATAGGGAAAAACAACTTTTTATATGCATAGAACAATCCTAGGGGGTGAGAGCATACAAATTCCGACTTTTTTCTGTGTACATTATTTTTGAGAAATTATTTCCACACATGGATTCCCTCTAGGAGTGCACGGGAAGAAGACCAAATCTTAATTCTGTATCCTAATTCTGCGTCAATATACTTACATGCACCGACGGCTCCAAATTAGTCCTTAAAGTAGAAAGTACAGTATAAAACATGCAAGAGCTCTTAACCTCAGTTTTCACTTGCCGGATCTCTTACTGTGATGCCGCTCTCAACAAGTCGAAAAGGATTCACCTTCCGTGTTAACAATGTCTTTTTTTGACAGCACTCCTGCCGATTCCCACAACTGTAGGCGCGTGGTTTCGACACTAAAATAAACTTGGTGAAATGTTTACATTTCTGTCAGCATGGAAAGGCACTTCTAACGCGGCGATTCATACTGCCGCAACAATTTTTCAGTTCCCATTCGCGCTATGCATACAAATATTTCTCTTTTAGCAACGGGTCAACCTTCGATTGCCGTTCTGGAACAAGTGCCAGTGGTTCACCTTATATTTACGCCAATTAGCGTCAAATTAGTTTACCAAACCTACTTTCTCACAATTTTATTTGTTTACATTTTAATTATGTTGCATTTTTTTGTTGCGCTTTGTCTGTCGTAGGCGTTTATGCGCATACCACGCCCAGTAAAAAAAATGTCAATACATTCAAAAGCGCAAACATCCCAGCAGTAACAAAGCGGCCAATTTTCTGAAAAGAACCAGTTTCTAACCGGATAGAATTTGACCGGTTTGAATTGGACATTGTCTTCATCGAAAATGTTTGCTTCTGGCCAGCGCCTAAAGACTGCCATCAAATTTTACTGTTAGAGAAAAATTTCAGTATACATATCGTCGCACAGAGAAGTATTTGCTTAGTAAAACCGGTCTAAGTTATTCGGTGTGTTTTTCTTAATATTAATAATGCATTTTTGAGAAAATTTTATTCCAATTCAAAATCAAAAATAAAAATTATAATCTAAAAATTCAACCGTATATTTTAGCCATTTGAAGCTTGTACTTTGTTCTACTAGAATTCAATGGGCTACAAAACTGCATACTCAGAATCTTTCTAGGAGATCTAATTAAAAAAACTAGAAATTTTTACAAAAGTTTATTGATTTTTTTAATATTTCACAATGTTTGAAGCTTGGATTTACAAGGATTTTGTTAAAGAATGAACTATATTTTTATACAAAAAAATAACCAAAATAAAATAATATGTTAAAACCTGTCAAAATTTTGTGCGGCTATAATTATTTCGACCACTGCATACTAGGGTATTCTATTATTCGCTTTTTTCCAAAACAGGTTCCCGATTTTGAGACTAAGAAAAACCGGATAAACCGGTTTTATTTTACATAGTTTTCATACATGCTTACAATG